AGTAGCCCGGGTGCAAGTGCTAACTCAGCACTTCGAGTGCAGTCACTATGCGAGCTCCTAAAAAGTGCTAAAATTGAATCTTTAAGTGCTAAATTTAGCACAACAGTCAGCTCCTTTGGGTGCTAGCAAAGTAGCCCGGGTGCAAGTGCTAACTCAGCACTTCGAGTGCAGTCACTATGCGAGCTCCTAAAAAGTGCTAAAATTGAATCTTTAAGTGCTAAATTTAGCACTTTTTTTTTTTGAGTGTACTAGTAATACTAGGGTGATCACACTGCCTGTGCACACAGTCTGCCCTGCGCACACACACACACACACACACACACAACATCAAGCAATTTTTTAAAGAATTATTTAAAACAAAACTAAACAATATTTTTAAATTTTTATTTCACATATATGTCAAGCATGCCTTTAACTACAATTCTGTGTAGTTCCATTGTTATAGGCATGTGGGAAATATGTTAAATTATTAAATTAGAATATTGTCTTTTCAGCCATTTGTGACATGGCCCGCTGACTTCCACTGTTATTTTGCGTGGTGAAAATGCACCTCAATTTATGAAACGCCCCTACAAAAATGGAATATCCTCATGTGTTTCACTCATTAAATCAATTTGTTGTTTACACTCAAGGTAGCCACAACTGTACTAAAATCACCAAACTTTTTGTAACTCTAAAATTCAGTCTTTGCGGAATGCTATGACCTGTTGAATGGTTTCTCGGAAAATCGTCATAAATCCTCAAACCTGACATCTTTTCAAAATACAAGTATACTGTGATGTAGCTGAAGGTCTGCAAATTCTTATCATTTGATCGGTTTTTCTAAATAATTAATAAAACACATGAGGAAATAGCTGTGACGGTGATCCAAGTAATTTCCATCGCCGCCGCTGCACGCCACTGCATTGGGCCAATTTGGGTCATTTGGAATTTAAGGTTAATATTTGGTGTAAATATAATTTATAAATATATGATTTAAAAAATGCCCCCAAAAATTGAACAGTTTGACTTTCCTAGTTTGTATAATGAGTGCGCGAATGTATAATTAACTGAAATGACCCAATTCGCGAATTTGATGAATATTCATGATTTTTTTTTTCTTCAAATGAAATATATTTCCATACATGTCTGATATACATAGGTTTCACTGATGTATCATGTTCGGTTTTGATTTGTTTACATAATGCGCATATTAATTAGGCGGACTTAGTTATTTTCACAACTTTTTCATATCTGCAGATTCGCAAAAAGGCAAAAATTACTTATTTTGTTGGCTTCTGTTTTCAAAACGGTAATAGATATATTAATTTTTTTGTTTGTATTTTTTACCACAAAGATGAAATTTTAGTGTCTGATAATTTAATTTATTATTTGTGTCCAAGAAAGTGATGAATTAAGTTGCCAACTTTGTCGAATTTTGCCATTCTTGCCAATTTGACCATTTCTGGCAGGTTTTTCGGTAATTTGGCGATATAAACAAAAAATGGTATAAAATCACAACGCATTGACCGATTTCGATTCTGTTTTTTGTTTTTTTGAAGCTTTCATAAAGCTTGATCATTTGCAATCATCAAATAACATGTGTTTGTTGTACTTATTTTTGGTGTGCTATAACTAGTAATACTTTACAAATCATAATTTTCCTATTTTCCCCGATCCATTTCTCTCTCTCTCTCTCTTTCTCTCTCTCCCCTTCCCCTCCTCTCCCACCCTCCTGTCTGTCTCCCCTCTCTCTCTCTCTCTCTCTCTCTCTCTCTCATACTCTTTATTTCTCCCTCCCTCCCTCGTACTTTCTTTCGTTCTCCCCCTCTCCGTACCTCTACCTCTCCCTACACTCAAAAAAATGTAGTGCTATTTTTAGCACTTGGAGGGCTATATTCAGCACCTTTTCAGTGCTCGCATAGGGACTGCACAGCTAGTGCTATTTCAGCACAAGTGCAAGTGCTAGTTCAGCACTAGTTTAAGTGCTATAGATAAGCACTAAAAAGTGCTAAAAAAACACTTCAAGTGCTATGAATGTTGGGCAGGTGGTGCTAAATAACCCCACAATCTACTCTGAATAGCACTAGTAGTGCTAAAAAACTGCACAACTTAGGTGCAGAACACAACAGTTTTGTAATGTTTAGCACTACTGGTGTTATATGTTTTAGCACTCCAGGCGTTATATTTCATATATAGTGAAATTATGCAATTTTGTCACACTCACACACAAAAAAAAGACAAATAAATGACTTTATATATATAGTTGGTATTTTATTAACAGTTTAACCAAAAAACACTGTTGCAGTAAAGGCACATGTTGACAAAGTTCTGCAATAAGCCAGAACATATGCCTATGTGGTCAAGGTGGATGTCCTTCGTCATTTACCACTTTCAACTCTTACAGGAAACATTTATTAAACCAACATCCACAAGAAGAACCTGAACCTGAAGCTGTACAGGGTATGGAGGGTCTAGTTGATGCTGATTTGGGTGTTGCTGTTGGTGAAGTGCATAATCCTGCAGCAGATGATGCATTTGATGATGATGATGATAGGATAGGCCTACTACAAGAACAAGATGGAGCAATGCATAATGACAGTACAGACCAGCTGCATTTTTCATTGGTTCTCTTTTATCAAACACCAACATGACCCATGCTATGACAAACAGAGTGTTATCTGCTGCAACAGCTTTGAATACTGATGTTGTTGACAGTTTAAGGAGCAAAGTTATTCAGACTTTTGAGGCCTTGGGTATTGACCTGGAGAATGAAGAATGTAAGAATCTCTTAGCTGAATTTGATTCAAAAACAAATATTCACAAGGTAACAGCTATTATACTAACCGACCAATCAGATCAGGTTATGCAGTCAGCACTCGATGTTAAGTGCTGCATATTGTTATAGCACTCGTTTTCAGCACTCAAATATTCAGCACGTTTCGGTTTCCTTGTTAAAGTTAACCCGTCAAGTGCTGATTTTGGCACTTCAAGTGCAGAATCTCACTCAGCACCCAACATTTAGCACCTCAGTTTTTTGAGTGTACCTCTACCTCTCCCTTTCTCTCCACTCCCACTCTCTCTCTCTCTCTGTCTCTACCTCTCCCTCCGTTCCCTCCTCTTCTCTCTCTACCTTTCTTTCCCTCTCTCAATCTTCCCCTTTACCTCTTTCTTTCTCTCCCTCTCCCTTTCCAATTTCGCTATGTTTCTTTCCTTTTCTATCTCTCTCCATGTCTCTTTCTCTCTGTCTGTCTGTCTCTCCCTCCCGCTCCTTATCTTTCCTTCTCTATTCAGCCCTTTTCACTGTTATTTATCGCCTTCATCTGTAGACGTCAATTCTACTCAAATGGATGTATAAATGTAGATTTATAAGGCGCGTGTTGCTATGTTGGGCAAGCACACATCAAATAATGTGCAAATGTTTCCAGAGTGGCCAATCTATAAAAGTACTTTGCGTTCCTGAAAAATCGAAACCAAAAATCAAATGTTTATTGCAACAAATTATGAGCTGTGTTAATACGAGTGTCGTGAACGAGTGGTTAAGGCGCTTGACTGGAGATGCGAAGGTCGAGGGTTCTAATCCCGACACGGCACTAATATCCTTTGGCAAGATATTAACCTGCACTTGCTACTCTCCACCGAGGTGTTAAATGGGTACCCGGTAGGATGCGACCGTCATTGTTGATCAAACAGTTTTGAGCGTTAATTAACGCCTGGCTGGAATGCTCCCCAGGGAGTGGATATTGTGCACACATTGTGTGCGGGCAAGTATTGAATCCAATGACCGGGGTAATAATATACCTGTAAAGCGCTTAGAGACGTCATAGATGTTTTAAGCGCTATATAAAAGCGGAGTTATTATTAAGATGTTATGCTTTTCATAAAGTAGCAGTAACATGCTTTTATATTATACATTGATCACATTAATCCATACACGCTTTACTTACCAACATTGTAATCAATAGACCACGTCAACATCAATTTGTGCCAGATTGTGGATCATAAATGAACATGACCTAAAGGAAACAAATTGTTTTGTGCAAAATGAATGCCATCATCATAAAGAAAATGAAAAATGTTATCGATGATGAGGGTATTAAAGAAGAAATGTTTTTTTGTGAATTGTTATGAACAGTGATTTTCGTTATGGTCGTTATGGTCGTTATTCTCCCACTTAATGGCATTTTCAAGCCATTTCAGTCGGAGGGAAGTTCTAAATTAGTATTATATTTTAAATGCCGTTGGAATTTAACCTTTCCATATTTTTGGCCTGCAAATGGGACATGGTACCTTTAATTGACGTGATAGAGTAATGTGTAGTGTAATAATAATTTTAATTTATATATGTCTATGCGATTTACATAGTAGTGGCTAAAGAGGAGGACATTTACATTGTTCCTGACATGACCTTTTTCTTTATCTTTGTCTTAGCTATCTACAAGGTAGTGTCCAAAACGAAGAAAATTTGCAAGGGTCGTGAAGAAAAAACAGATTTAATGGGCAAGTTATAGGTCGATCTGTTAAGCGGTTGATTTCTCAAATTCTATACGTTATAACAAAGTTTAGATGTGGTTATTGAAACCTCTGATTTAGTATTCCTGTGTTTCGTTTGAATTATATGTATGCTAATCAATACATAGACTAGTTTAAATGTATCAGAGAAGTTTCGTGGACTTGAGTGGAAACAAAAATACATTATGGACAGAACATTTGTATTCATACAAAGCATTACTGTGATATAATCATTCCTTGAGTTTGAAGGCTGCGCCACCAAGTAGGCGCCATTAACCGCGTAGTTTCGTTCCCTGCCGGTAAAGGTCCTTGACTTGTTGCGACTATAAGATAGAGATTTCTTAATATTTTAACATATCTCTAGCATTTTTCATTACTTGAACTCTCTCGCGGTAGGATAATAGCTTTATAAGGATTATAATCATACATGCCAGTCTCTCCCCATCCCAGACACCTTGTAAATTAAATAGATTATACCATTTTCTGCTCAATTGTAGGATTTGTGGAATTGCCTCTGGTGGAGGAAGGAAGCCCTCAAGCATGAGGGCTATACTAAAGCTAGTTGCAGCCATCGCTGTGGTAGTGATTGGTGTTCAAACAGTCAGAGTATCAGGTAAGATCACCAACCCGATCTCCTCCTACTTACTGCTAAGCCACAGTTGGCGAGGCTGGGAGTGCGAATTCATGGATCACGCCATCTTTAGCGTGCAGCAGGTAGGCGATTGAGATCGCAGTATAACATTTAAAAAACGGTCACATTTGTTGAAGGGGGGGGGGTAGTCTACGCACTCTTCATTTAAAAGAATGGCATTTCTTCAGAACGAAGAAATGATTCATGCACTTACCAAGTTTTTGAATTTTTCAAGTAATTATGTGAAATTGATTTGATTCCCTATTTATTTGAAGATGTGACACATCATAACTTACATCTGAAATGTTTCCAAAAATGGCCCCGATTATAGCCAGTCTACCTTTCATTCTTGCGTTACGAAAACAAATTATTTAAAAAAATTAACAAAAAATAATTACAAGGAGTATGAATAATTTAGTTGTTAACTGTACATTATCTAATTGTTTTAAAATGCTGTTTAAAGTTGCCAACAATTTTAGTTTCAGTTTCAGTTTGTTGTTTTGCAATGATTTTTCACAAAGTCAGTGGTCAAATTAAATGTAGATTCTATTAACATAGACAAAAACAGTAGGTGGGTACCTCAATTTAATTTGTTCGAAAGCATTCCATTAAAAGACTAAACGAAAAAGAAGATTGGGGGGGGGGCTAAGGTGAAAGCTATACTCCTGATTATAGGCCCCGAAGAATAGTTAATTTCATAAATTGTCTTTAAAAATTGAGGGAACGAGCAATTAATGTCAATCGTAGTCAGGGACGGCGATCCCGGGGGACAGGGTGGACACGCCCCCCTCATTGTTTAGATAATAATCTCGTTAATGAAACAGTGTAAAGGTTAGTCTCAAACAAACCTACACCATTAAACTTAGTGCCACCGCCATTAAGCCAGGCATCAAATTTAGTAATCTTCTTTTGTGTTTCTAAAGACCGAGGTTTCCCATGTTTATTTACGAAAATGGACATTCAATACTGGTAAGTTGTTCGATAACATCACTCAGTCTGATTTTATTCGAGATATATCTTATTAATCAATCAGTGTTAAATGTAGCCTCAAACAAACCTACACCAATAAACTTAGTTCCACCGCCTTGGTAACATAGCTCAGATGAAAGAAAATGGTGCTAAGGTAGTGACTTCAATGATAGATGTACAATTAAAGATAATCTGAAAGTTTCAAACACAGCCCATTATTAATGATACAAATTGGGAAAATGATCTGATCGATTTCTTAAATCTCCCAAGTCTATCATTACAATTTAATTACATTTTAGGTGAATGAAAATTGTCCCAAAGCAATGCATTTGCTCTGTATACCATTCCAGACATTTAAGTGTTGAAAGGTTTTTAAAAGCCTGTTATATGTCTTATTTTCGTGAAAAATGGTTTAAAAGTTCAAAAATGGTTGGGAGAATTTGCTGTTAGAGGATGTCGCACATTGGATTTTTCTTGTTTTGTTTGCAAATAAGAGAGTTAGTACAGTAGGAGGAATATAATAAGTAGCATTTCATAACCAAATTACGCAGTTTTTTTCATCAACCTTCATGTTACCGAGTCACTTTAAGCCAGATAACATCGTTCAGTTTGATTTGATTGGAGATATATCTCATTAACAAAACAGTGTACAGACTATATAGTCTCAAAGAAACACACACCATTAAACTTCAAGCTCACTCACACATGATATATTGCGACACTTTCAAGGCTATCTTTTGTTGCAAGTTCATGTATATACAAACGGCAACAGTTTTAATATAACATGTAAGTACTTCTCATTTAAATCATTGGTCTGGAAACAATTATTTGCCCATTGTTGTATTTTGAATTAAATTTTCACCTAAAATGGAATCTACATTGTAATGCAATTTTCAGAATTCCCAGGTTGATCTAGGAAAATAGAAGATTGATATTGTTAAGTTGTTCGATAACATCATTTAGTTTGATTTGATTGGTGATATATCTCATTAATGGAACAGTGTTATGGCTATAATAGTCTCAAACAAACCTACACCATTAAGCTTTATGCTCACTCACATAATGATATATTGCGACAATTTCAAGGCTACTTATTATTACAAGTTCATGTTTTTACAAACGGCAACAGTTTTAATATAACATGTGGCACTGTTTTTTTTAACATATACCAAATGTGTCCACGAAAGGGTGAAAATGAACTTATATTTACTTACAGTAAACGTTTATTTTTTTGGATCAGGACTATTCATATTTTTGAGAAATGCATATTTCGAAGCTTAATCCATCTCCCTATTTATTCACCAGATATGAATACTTTGAGTTCTTACAATTTTATTGTGAACTATAGCATATCTAATAACTGTGATATAAAACTCATTTGCTATTCACTACACTAACAAATATGTTGGTCTTTAAGAATATGTTTCAGAGATTATTCCTGCAAATGTTTGAGTTTCTATCTTGAAGAATACAGATTTTGTATCCCTTGAAAGTGAAAAATAGCTCTAAATTAGGGTTTTGACAATAACAAGTTGTTATTTCAATAGGTAAAGTGTTTTTTTTCTTGGGTCAAACTTATTTTAATATAAGAACCGATGATATAAGATAAATACATACCCCAAAATTGGGAACCAGTGCATTGCCCAATAATTTTCATATGTCACACTACTGGTTTTTCGGACGTTACACACTGTTAACATCATAACGTTATTCAAGTTAGTTGCTTTCTTTAGGTATTATTGACCTAAGTTACATTAAATGTTTGCAGAAAAATACATTTATGGAAAAAATTGTGCAGTTTTGATTAGTTTAGCACATATACCTAGTTTGTCTTCATCGACTACCCAATTTATGTAAGGTGTATTGTTCATTTCAAGAACGTGTAGTTATAAATGCTTATGTGATCTAACAGAGCGAAATATGAAGCTAATAGTAATTGTAGACTTGTAGTCATCAAAACTAATTAGAAAATTTACTTACGAACATACTCTCTTTGCATGTTATGAACAACAGTGTACAATGTATGCTATAGTTTGTTTCGAATGTTACACGATGTTACACTTTGCCTTAAACTATATAGTGTGTCATTCAATAATATCACTAACACATGCATGTACTGTATGTAAGCAAAACATTGACAAATATTTTGTCTTAAATGAAACTATAAAGAAGTATCCCCAGCCATTAAAGTAATAAGAAATAAGGAAACTGTTATCCATTGTACATCCTGAGAATGAGACATGTTACATGTAACTTTAAAATTGTGTATGTTTTACCACTATTTGTATTAGGAGGCTGTTTCAAAAGACAACACTTTTAAATGGTCTTAAATAAGAATTTATTTATTTAGTTGATGACCGATTGATGGATGGATGGGTGGATGGATTGTGTGGTTGGTTGGTTGATTGATCTTAACTCTTGCTGTGCCGATATCACAGGTGACAAACAGTATAGGTTAAACATGTATCTTAGATTGCACTTTGCCCCAACAGGTATGTGGATACCAATTAGATGTTCAGAGCTTAAATCAAGTATTCTAGTTATCTGTGAAACATTATAGATTCATAGAATATAATTTTGTACAGGATCCTTCAAATTTCTCTGTTTAACGATAAACGATGGTTAATGAATAGGCAAGAGAAAAGGGACAAGCAGTATTAAAGCCCATTTATATTTCACACTAGCTTATAAATTTGAGGAAGAAACTGTATGTTTAGGATCATTAAATAAGGTATTAATGCTCTTTTCAGTATTGGATAATGGCAGTAGTAATCCCTTGTACACAGATTAGTTACGTGTACTGAGTGCCGTTTTTAAAATGTATTTTCAGATGAAATTCCCCATACATTTTTAGAAAAACATTTTTATTTGCTTGATTGTATCAACGTTATATGCCTGTAACATACCCATGTACCCATGTACATGTACACTAGATACTGATTTTGAGCTTTTGTAACCTACCAAATAGTTTAGATTGACCATACAATCTTTGGTTATATGACATCATTTGGAACAACCTCTGTAAAAATGAAAACCTGATGATTTTTTTAACACACAGCGATGTAAATAGCAAGAGGAGAGGTTGAAAAATTGAAATTGGCTATTCTCACATCTGTCTTTGTCCCTCATTTAAACTAGTTAAAGTATGAAAATGTCTGTTAACAGTTTAATGTAACGTCCGAAACGTGCTAACAGCATACCAGAAAGTGCTGTTAGAATTGCTCAATATTTTATATGAGTCACTTTTATTGAGATTTTTTTCGGATAAATTACAATTAAGGATATACTAAAGCAGCCAGTCATGCCTTGCATCACAAAGTGTGGCTTCAATATTTTAGGTTTTATAAGTCAATTTTGCAGATAATTTAGATATTTTACGGAAAATTCGATTTTTGCATCATATTTCTTCATATTTTTATATTCAAATCTAAATAAAATTATCAAAATAGTGTTTGTAACAGGAGAATGCATCGTGAAATCGTAACTTGCACATTTGATCGAAAATTAGTTGAAATTTGCAAACTATGTGTTAACAATCAAATAGTGTTACGTCCGAAACACCCTTTTTGAGCTTACACAAAAGTATTGTATTTGAAAGACCTGATATGTGTTTTGACTTGTGTTAAGACTTATAATAACTTATTTCATAATGATTTATTCACTCCAGATACCCTAAAATATGGATTATCATCATTTAATTGGTATTTTTGGTTTCGGACGTTACATTTGTTCAACTGTTAACGGAAAATTGGTTTTAACTATGAAATAGTATTGTAGTGATGTATTGCAAATTTCGTTTTTTTTATGGGTAGCCGCAATGAAATGTTTACAAGATGTTACGATAGATAGGTCCTGCAGTTCATATATTTTCTGCTACTTCAAATTGAAAGTTGTTTTGGACGTTACAAAATTGTTTACGGAAAATGAGACAACTTTATCAAATGTTGAGTATATTTCTAATATAAGCGCTACTATAATTAAATTATATTTTCTTTTAATTTAATGACTTGGAGTAACTAATAAGCTTATTCAAAACATATACAATCTCAATAATTTATTGTTCTAGTGGTTAAATGAGGGTCAACATTGTTAACGGAAAATGTAACGTCCGAAACACCATTTTCAATTGCACTGTTCCATCCAAATACACGAGTTAATTCAGATTACTGTTAACTTTCTTTAACCCTAAAAAGGCCGGGCTATTGGAGGTCTTAGTACGGCCGGGGGGGGGGGGCATTCCCCCCCATAAGATCTCGGCCGTGAAGCGGCCGATCTCCGCGAAAATGTGCACACATGTCAAGTTTGCATAATTATGGTGATTTATGCTAATAAGGTCATAAAAACCACATTTTTAATCATCAATCATATATTATTCATATTTAAGCATTCTTTTTCACTAAACATATTCATTAGACCATTCGGAATAATAATACAAAAACAAATTTGGAAGAGCCAGCTTATTCCTTATGTTATCTCTTGTTTTGATAATTTCTTATGTATTTCATTGTATGTTTAACTTATGTATTTTTTTTTTCTTCATTTCTAACTGAAATTCAACTATTTTGACCCCCAAAACAACCACCTAAACTTTAAACAAGACCCAATAACCCATGTTTGATCTATTATAAGGAAAAATTACTTTTCCATAGGTTTTTTACACAAATCGCGAAAATCGCGAAAAGACAAAAGGTCACGTGACCTTGTAACCGTAGGGCCGATTTTCAAAAAAAATCTTTAAAGTTGCGCAAGACTCGAAAGAATAAAGTCAGCGAGCGGCGGAGCGCCACCCATATGTGTTCCCGAACAATCAACAAAATCGTGGAAGGGGGGGGGGGGGTGGCATGATGCCCCCCCGGCCTTATTAGGGTTAAGATCCACCCATGCTCATTTATCATCAATAGAACAAATATGCATATTGTTTGTAGCTATATATTTTTTTCGGCTCCAACCAAAAAGGTATGTCAATTTTGTTATGAAATTCCGTAAACAATTTGCTGTTCAGGGATACCTCATGCACATAAAGCAACGTTGACAATTTGTCATTAAGCTATGGGAGGTCAATCTAGGTCCATGCTAAAAGAAAAATTTGTAACTGATTTCTACTTCGTTATCTTTGTAAAGTTTCATGCTCTCAAAGGGCCATTTAGCTATTTGGTCATAGTTTTAAAAAAAACAGTGCCATGTAAGTTCTTCTCGTTTAAATCATTGGTCTGGAAACAATTATTTGTCCATTGTTGTATATTGTATTACATTTTCACTAACGATGAATTTACATTGTATTGCAATTTTCAGGTTTCCTTGGTTTATTTAGGAAAATAGAAGATTGATATCGTTAAGTTGTTCGATAACATCATTCAGTTTGATTTGATTGGAGATATATCTCATTAATGAAACAGTATAAGGCTATATAGTCTCAAACGAACCTACACCATTAAACTTCAAGCTCACTCACACATGATATATTGCGACACTTTCAAGGCTATCTTTTATTGCAAGTTCATGTATTTACGAACGGCAACAGTTTCAAGTTCTTCTCACTTAAAGGTAAAGACCAGTTTCCGAAACGCCCCCTCTTAAAAAATGAAATGGAAGCTCTTATTACCAATCATGACTTGTGACAGAATATGTTTTGACTAATACGTGATGATACAAATTTTGCCGAGAAACCACTTACTAATTGATATATGTGGTAAATTATTATATCTATTTGGACCTGGTAGATATCGCGCACGTGTCGCGTAGTCCCATATACATCTGTCTGTGTACAGTGATTGTAACTTTTCCAAGACTGGGCCAAATTTCTTATGCTTTTGATGATTCCAGAACCTTGCAGTACACACCAATACTTATATGCTAGATTATCTACCTTTTCTGATCGATTCCACAACGTTTCTTTCACAATGCAATCGCATGACCAGAATTAGTCTTTATCTTTAAATCATTGATCTGGAAACAATTATTTGCCAACTTTGTTGCATATTGTATTACATTTTCACTTAAAATGGAATTTACATTGTAATGCATTTTTCAGGTTCCCCAGGTATATTTAGAAAAACAGAAGATTGATATTGTTAAGCTGTTCGATAGCATCATTCAGTTTGATTTGATTGGAGATATATCTCATTAATGAAACAGTGTAAGGGATATATAGTCTCAAACAAACCTACATCATTAAACTTCAAGCTCACTCACACATGATATATTGAGACACTTTCAAGGCTACTTATTATGTCAAGTTCATGAATATACAAACGGCAACAGCTTCAATATTAAATGTAAGTTCTTCTCCCTTAAATCATTGGTCTGGAAACAATTATTTGCCCATTGTTGTATATTATACAACATTTTTCATAACGATGAATATACATTGAAATGCAATTTTCAGGAAAACCATACTTGTCAGTTGTAATATTTGCTATATGATACTAAAGCATATCGTTACGCATATCGATAGGAAAATGTGAAGTACGTGTCAATTATTAAAATCATTACGTACTATTATTAACCGGACTACACAGTTTAAAATTTATAAAAAATGTATACACTATTGCCAGCAAGCAAGTGTTGCATATTTTAGTCAGGGCAGATTTGAAGATGCTTTAATACATGCCCTACACTCTTAGTTGGATTGTTGTCTTCTAAAGTCTTCCGTATAAATATAAATTTAAATGAGGTCAATAATCATTTTGAAAACACCTCTTTCGTAAGGTTGACACTGCAATATATATTGTGGACATGTTACAATTTAAAAATATTTTTTTCATTGGGGGAGGGGGGATCCAGAAAGGGATCGATATTTTAAAATGTTGGTACTGGCCCATGGACTGTGGCCTAAAATTGAAGTTTACTGATAGGTCGCTTCACACATTTTTGTGGATACTTTTTTGAGCAAAACGGTTTATGGAGCCAACGTCCTCACACTTCACTCGACCAATTTTCACCCGTCACTTCCCGGGCGCCGCAGAATATCTGACCACACAAAATCAGAAGGGTCCCGTACGGTCTTTAAAATCCACGGCTCGCCGCCAGGTAGAGAAAATCGTACGGGGTCGGTGTATATGTGGCCTAGGCATTAGGAAGCGTCTCGATAGTATTGAGACGTATTTTATTACGTACCCGAGCGTGGCAAGTATGGCCGATTGGACGTGAATATCTCATTTTATTTTGGATATCGGTGCACATTTTAAATGTCGGCCGTTTAAAGATCGTAAAAAAAATGCTCAATATAAGTATATATTAGTCTCAGAATATTTATTTTAATGGATTTTTAAAGAATCTTTTCTTTTCCACAACAATCAATGGGCAATTTTGAATGTTTTTAGAATATGGTATAGCAATAATGCCAAGGTCACATTTGCCACGGCGGCCGTGCGGTCTAAAATATCTACGGCCAATAGCAATTATAAGACCGCCGCAGCATTCCCACGGTCGCGTATTTGGAATTTGCAGAAAATCTGGCCTTTGAAGTGATGACGCATGGTCGCCTCAGGGCGTCCCTGCGGCGGCCGAATTTTTTGACAAATACTAAGGCAGAGGCAAGGCAGCCGAAGGGGAACCCTACGCCGACCGTGCGACCAGACTGATGCTACTTCTTCAACCCTAGAGTATATAAAACGCAAGGCAACCTTACGTCCGACATACAGTCGCCGTGGAGCCGCTCTACGGCATGGATACGGCGTGTCTAATCGCTACAGCAAACCTAGAAATGAAAACAGTTATAACTCCGCGTTATAATCCCACGACGACCTGTACGGCATGTTAAGATAGGGAAACATCCTAGGGTGACCCTGAGGCCACCTCATATTCTCTGCGGCCACCGCAAGTATCTCTCGATTTTGGGGGCGTATATACGGCCGCTGTATCCTAGCCGTAGAGCAAATGTGACCTAGGCATAACTAATGACGTATATCCACTACGTACCTTTTCCTAAAGCAACCTGCACTTTCTCTCTCTCTTCCTCTCTCTGTATTGTTTACCCCTTCTCTTTTTACCGTCACAGTACTTTGTATGTAACCATGAAATAAATACATTTAGTAAACTATTTGTTTTAATTAGATAGAATATGAGCTCTGTGTACATGTATGTGTAAATGAGAATCCAGTAAGAGGATTTCATTAAATTGTTTGTAAGTGTACTAGTGCTATATAATGAGTGCAGCCTAAGACTACTTACTAGTTACGTGAATATTGTAAGGAGTTTGGAATATAAGTTGCTGAAGATGTTTTCAAGCTCAGTAATTTTGCTGAAAAAGGAAGTTTTGGATTGAAGTGATGCAGATGACTTTTGGAAAATACATGAATAGTTTCGAAAGTGTTATGAGTTTATTCAGTATCAATGTGAATACCTGAGACAAGGAATGACTTGTTAATTTATGGATTATTGAAGGCTGAGAGTAGAATAAAACCTAAGGCTAAGGGTCGATGTGCACAAATGATCATCAGTCTCGGGGCCCTAACGTGTATGAATCACATTAGGCAATAGTATAGGGATAGTTTAACGTGCCAGATTTAATGTTTGTGTGCCGTATCGTTTAGGTATCATTTAGTTAATTATTTGCATGTTTCATTTTCCAAGAGCGGCAATTCTAACGTTTCAAATATGAAACATTTGGAACTTATCCTACGATGGTAAATGAGCATTTGGGAACAATGCTAGGAACCAATTTTAGATGCTGCTCCTTCTCTCTATTGGAATTTATTGGTTGTTTATCAAGAGGATTTTATTCAAATGGACATAAGTCTACCTATTTGTGTATTCATTTATTTAAACATTTTTCATTAACATATACTTCTATACTTAAAAAATCAATTAAGGATGTAGATCTATTTATCTATATGTATTTATCGATGTATTCATTATTTGATTCACTCTCATTGCATCATTACATGACGTAGGTGAAGTATGTCCTCATGTGACCATAACATGTCCTTTAACCACTCTGGAGAGCGGTGAGACTGTACAGTTCATCCCGAAACCCATGCAACCCGGTCAAAAGGTGTTAATATCCGGCCTCCCAGCAAACCTCCTGATTCCTGATAGTGTACGGCGTTATTATTGCACAGAACCAGGTAAGTACTTAAGCCCCAGTCCCATATAAAGCCGGACCAGCACGGACGAGCACGGACCACTCCGGACCATCCCGGACCATGGTCTGGGGTGATCCGGGATGGTCCGGGATGTTTTGTTCAAAAAAGTGTGATGCTTTTAAAGCTACAGTCCCATATACGTCCCGGACCGTCCCGGACCATCCCGGACCCCATCCGGGATGATCCGGGATTCGGTCCGTGTTGACACCGTGTTCGCACCGGGGTGGTCCTGGATGGTCCTGGATGGTCCTGGGCGGTCAATAACTCACTCCCGGACTGCCACGGATCAACACGGACCGCCCCGGCGCCACTACGGATGACCCCGGACCCAGCACGGTGGCTACACGGATCACCCCGGATCAAACTATTGTCCCGGACCGTCCCGGACCACCCCGGCAGTTTTTGACCGTCAAAAACATCCGGGGTCGACTCCCGGACCGCCCAGGACCATCCAGGACCATCCAGGACCACCCAGGACCATCCAGGACCACCCCGGTGCCAACACGGTGTCAACACGGACCGAATCCCGGATCACCCCGGATGGGGTCCGGGATGGTCCGGGACGGTCCGGGACGTATATGGGACTGTAGCTTTACATTCAAAATCTCTGAAATGAGGCGGCACAAAAAAAAAGGGGGGGGGGGGAAGGGGAGGCCTCGTTTGTCCGAATGTTCATAATTCCAAAGGTGAAAAAGGGTTCATTATTCTGAAAATGTGTGTAATTCTGAAAATTAAAAAGCCTCGGTATTCGGAAGTTTCATAATTCCGATAAACGATACACTGTTGTACCTCATTTTCGGAATTACGAATCCTATTTCATTTTTCAGATATATGAATTATCTGAATTACAAACCTTCGGAAAGAACGACATGTAACCGAAAAATAACGCTGGAGCCGAAAGAATGCATTCGCGTCAATTCATATGTATATGGCACTACAAAAGAACATTTTTATTTTGACACCGATCAGAACTTGTGGATTGCCTTACTAACGTGACGAGGCATATTATTACAGAAAATGTCATTCATTCAATATCATTACAATTTTATATTCACTAATAGAGGGTGTCGTGATAATAATAGAGGTTAATGCAACTAACTTTCAGTCCAACGGTAGAGGGTTCGAATCCCAGTATGGTACTACAATGTGCTTTGGCAAGGCATACTTGTCCCTCCCCACCCAGTTGTAAATGGATAATATTTCGCAATCAACAACTGTATGATAATTGAAGGGATCCCATAAAGAATAGCATTAATGCTGAAGAGGCTCCTGGATAAACAATACATATTTCCGATATCACCAAACATTTGAACCTTTTGCCTTCCGGTTTCGTTTTTTCGTGCCATGCCATTTTCAAAAGCTTCTTCCGTTCAAATTGTTTTTTTTTCTTCAACTTTTAAACATGTATTTTCAACACAACTTCTGATGAATAAGAGAGGCATGTCAACTTAAACTTAAACTTTTAAATGGACGTGTGACAAAATAATATAAGAAACATGTAATTTTAATTATCAAGTAACAGTTGATTAGGTAGTCTATACATACTATGAATTTGTTTTATTGAAGAAAACTGAATTAAATATTGTTTCGAACTTACGTTGAATAGTTTATTGAAGGGGCCTTTTGACACCTACACGCTACGAACCCCGAACCCCGGACGCTTACGAGACCACTGCTCTACCACTGAGCCATACTTTATTATGAAGTACATGTATAATTGAAAGCGACAAAGCTAATTTTAATTTAGTCGTCAGATATAATATAATCTAGCTCGAAAAAAATATTAAAAAATCTTCTTAAAGATACTATGTCCCATTTGCAGCCAACATCGAATTATGTAGAACTTTGCAGGGATTTTGAATGTGTCATGTATGTTCTATCTGTGAAATTTAAACATTAGCAGTGTTCTAGTATTCAAATTATGCAAGGAAACCTGTTTAACTTCTAGACTTCACTGTCAGACACTATTGAGTGACGAACTGACAACCTTTTTCTTTGGTAATAACATACATAAAATGAGGTGTAACAGGTACATGAACATTTGTCTACATGAATAGCCCACTACTTGTAATGGCCAAAATTAAACTGATTGAATCTTTGTGCAGCACAAAACGTACGGCCATCCGGTAAAAGGGTCTAAAAATCAGACTATTACTTAGGTAATTGCAATCACTGAAGTCGATTCGACAACTAATTGTCGTTATTTTCCACTAAAAGCCATTTCCAAGCCCTTTCGCTTGAGGGAAGTTCTAAATTAGTATTGTCTTTCAAATGCCGTTGGAATTTAACCTTTTCATTTGTTGGCCTGCAAATGGGACGAAGTACCTCTAATATACAACCCTTTTTAAAGTTCAACGATAAAAAGAGGGCTCTATCAAGTCCATATAGGAAAAATGGTCTAAAAGCAATCCATGCAAAACCAGAACAAAATGATGAAATTTCTATTATACTTTTGTGGCGTTTAACTAGGCGCGATCTTACGGACCGCAGTAATGAATGCCAATTTCACCTGATTAACATATTAATTCAAGTTAATGAAACAACATAATCTATCAGGTCTGCTGTTTAATAAACAAGAACGGAAGCTTTCTGTTGTGTGTTACAGTGCATACAAATCCATTATAAACTTAATTTAAAAAAAAAAACAATGTTTTTGATGAGTTACACATTCGATCTCTGTCCTTTGCCTAATAAGGCATCAAGTGGCATAGCGTGGGCCGAGATATTGAAGGGGGCATTTGTATCATAGAGGGGGGGGGGGGGGAGGGGGGTGTGCACCTAACTTACTCGGTGGATCAAGAGCAATGTGAGGTCATTAATCGTAATGATGGGCGTCTGGTGGGTTGTTCGACTCTTTACTTGTTTCCCTCTCCTTTCTCTTGTTTCCTTTCCCCCTTCTTTCTCCCCCTTCTTTTCTATTCTGCCTTTTTACTAAGGAGGCACGTGTCCCCTGTTCCACCCTGTAGGTACTCCACTCAGGCTCTGTTCTAGACGAAAATCCCCGTAAAATTCCACTACGAAATTTATGAAGTTACCACAAATGACAAAAGTGAAAACATTTCACCTGCAAGTGCAAAAATAAACACAAATGTAATAACTTGTCAACCACAAATGTAAATAAAAAACGAACAATATTTCGCCTACAAAATTAATGTAAAAAATTCATCACATGTCAACCGCTAAAGTAATAATCCGTTGCTTTTGTAATAATAGTACTAATTCCTATATTTCTTTTTTATACTTTCAAATGATATATAAGACAACAAAAAAGATCAATAAATGACGCACGACTGAAAACAGACATTCTGAATTGGCTGTGTCGGAAACCCAAATACGGTGCGTCATTTGTCAATTCGAATTGAATGTAAGGTACACCTCCGTCACTTGTTTTGGTTAGGTTTTGTTATGGGGGTGGGTGGGCAGAGGTTTAACTCTAAAAATGAAATAATAATTTACAAGGCTAGTGATTAAGGGTGATCTGGTGGTTCAGGCGTGTTCGTTTCGATTTCTATCACTCTCTCTCTCTATCCCTTTCTTTTTTTTTCTTTTCTCTTTTTTTTTAGCCATTGGATGGGACACCGGACATGAACCCTCGTGTCCACTGTTGCTACCAATATACATCACTGTTTTGTACATGTATGTATGTATGTATTAGACCTTGGGGTATTCACTTTTCTTATCTATGCCCCCCCCCCCCTGTGTTATCTTTGTCACCAGCATGCCGCTCAAACCCTTGTCTTCATGGAGGCACTTGTAAGGAGACGGACGCAGGATTTACTTGTCTCTGTTTGGGTGGCTACCGTGGTGAAAGATGTGCAGAAGGTAAGTGAGACAAAGGGACGTGCATGTTTTTTTTGTATGGGGTAGGGGGACCCTTGTACAGCCAGAAAATCCTGAGGAGAGCGAGCATGGCAAGATAAGAGGGGTAGCATGGTTTTTGTCTCGCCTGCGTAGCAAAAGTCGAGACATTATATGCGACGTTTTTCCTGTGACATCGACGGTGACGGCGGCGGCGTCAACATCAAAAACATAACCTATGGTTAAGTTTTTGAATGTTCAATATAATTTTGAAAGTATAAGTTCTTATTCAATGAAACTTGGACTAAAGAGTTATCAAGTATCCCCAGTCATGTGAGGGAAATTTTAGGTCACTAAGTGAAGGTCAAAGGTCATTTCCTGTCTGCAAACTTAGACTTCTGGCATCAACATCAAGATTTTGAATTTTTAGCATAATTTCAAAAGTGTTTGTTCAAATTCCAAGACACTTTTACCCAAGGGTTATCAAGTATCTCAAATCAGATGACACAAGTCCAGCTCAGGAGGTGAAGGTCAAAGGTCATTTTAAGTCAATAGACTTGAATTATGTTTATTCACAACTTAATATGAGAATTAATAAATCAATTTTTGTTCATATTTCATGAAAGTTATCAATCTTGGTACAAGTCAAAGTAAACCTGGCACTTTTCCTTCGTAAAATGGGGCACTTCTTACAAAGTTAAAGGGGCACTTTTGGGGTACTTGAAAAATGTGGGGTAATGTGTGCCCTGCCCACCCCCCCCCCCCCCCCCGGGAGCACCGCATCTGATTCTAATACGACTATGGTTTGAGAACTTAGTGACTATATGATGTAAATATGACTTGGTCAATTTAGCGCCCTACGCAAAACCAAATTGTATATTGATGGCAGTGCTGAGAAAGTTACATATTTAAGATATTTTACATCTCCGTAAAGTCTTGTTTAAAACTTGCTTTACCAAATAACTAAATAAGTTCAATTTTCTTTCTTTTTCCCCTCAACATATCTTTCTCATATTAATTGTATA